CTACACTCAGATAGTTATGATGTGACAGGGATAACGGAGACCTGGTGGGACTGCACCCGTGACTGGGCCAGGGTGCAGAGGGCTGTACCCTGTACAGGAGGGATCGAGTACGCACAAGGGGCGGGGGTGTAGCTCTCCATGTCAAGGAGAGCTACGTGTCCCTGCAAGCCGACACTGGTGCCCAGGGCGGGCGACTGGAGACCCTCTGGGTTGCAATCCGTGGGGAACGCGGCGCAGGGGACACGATGGCGGGAGTCTACTACAGACCCCCTACCCAGGGTCAAGACCTTGACCAGGAGTTTGCCAGGAAATTGGCTGCGGCTGCGCGCTCCCGGTGCACGATTGTCATGGGAGACTTCAACTACCCGGACGTCTCGTGGGAGGAGCGCTCGGCCAAATCTAAATGGTTGCAAAGCGTCCTCTCGTGCGTGGACGAGCTCTGTCTGATGCAAGAAGTCTACGGGCCGCCGAGAGGTAAAGCGCTGCTCGACCTGGTGCTGGCAATGGGGGACGAGCTAATCAGCGACCTAACGATCGCTGGGTGACAGCGACCACGAGCTGATCACCTTCACTAAAGCTGGCAAGTCAGTCAGCAGTACAGAAGTCCTCGACTTCAGGAAAGTCGACTTTGACAAGCTCGGGAGGCTCGTCAGGGAGGCCCTAAAGGGCCACAGCCCCAGGGGAGGGGAGTGCAGGACGAGTGGCTGCTCCTCAAGGCAGCGATCCTGGACGTCCATCCCGTCTCGGAGGAAAGGCAGCAAGAGGGCACAGCAGCCCCTGGCTCTGCAGGGAACTAGCGGACCTCCTGTGTCTAAAAAGAGAAGCCTACCAAGGATGGAGGACGGGATCCACCTCCCAGGAGGAGTACTCTGCTCTGCACCGGACCTGCAGGGAGCAAACCAGGACAGCCAAGGCTGCGACCGGACTCCCACTGGCTCCAAATATCAAGGACAATAAAAAGTCCTTTTTCAGATCTGTGGGGAGCCGGAGGAAAAGCAGGGGCAACGTTGGGCCCCTGCTGAACCCGATGGGA